GTCTCGCTCTTGCTCAGGCTGGTTTTGAACTCCTGACCTTGAGCAATCCGCCCGCTCGCCTCCCAAGAGCTAGGATTACAGGCGTGAGCCACAGCGCCGGCTCTTTTTTAATTTTTTAAAAATTTTCTATTCTGGCCGAACGGTGACTCACGCCTGTAATATCTCATTAATTTCTTTCTATTTTTAGTAGAGACAGGGTCCCACTCTTGCTCAGGCTGGTTTCGAACTCCTGACCTCGAGCGATCCACCCGCCTCGGCTTCCCAGATGTTTCTATCTTTTTAACTAACCTGGTGTCCTTCATCTGTTCCTTGCACCTGAACAAGACAATCCTGCTCTCGTCTCCCAGCCAAAGATTTTATCTCCCTTCTGGGTTCATCGTTGCCTTGCCCTTTGACTGAAGATTGTGGTTCTCATCTCTGTCTTTGCTGTCCTGGGCCTCCTCAGGTGCAAATCTCTTCTAGTCGGATGTTCCTGGGATTCTCCTCCTTCTGCTCACCCCAGAAGTAGACATATCCACAATAAGGACTCCACAGTCTATGGGGCCTCTGCTTCAGAGATAAAGTAAGGGTGTCGGACCCCCTGAAGAGGCCTCCATTTTGGTTGTTTTCCTCCTACAAAAGACAAGGATAATTGAGCTACTTCATTGTTTCCTAGGAAATGAGTGCTCAGTGGCATTGGATTTGCCAGCATGAAGACACTTCACAGAATGTCAAGCAGTTATTGATTTCTGAATCTGAGCTAGTGCTTTACAATAAACAAACTGTTCTTCCTCACAGCGGACATTTTGCCTCACGGTGTTGGGGCTGGGTTGAGCCATAGAATGCACTGAGGTTTGGCTTATTTGGAGAGAAACAGTATTGTCTATGCAAGTGAGCCACACACATTGATAAAGGAGCCCTCACTGTTGTCACACGAGTCACAAGAACTTCCACAACTACTTTATACTCATTGCAAAAGCTTTTTGGGGGGCTCTTTTTTTTGAGACAGGGCTTTATTCTACTGCAACCTCAAACTCCTGGGCTCAAGTGATCCTTCCACCTCAGCCTTCCCAGTAGCTGGGACTACAGGTGTGCACCACCATGGCCTGCTAACTTTTCTATTTTTTGTAGAGATGGGGCCTCACTATGTTGACCAGGCTGGTCTCGAACTCTTGGCCTCAAGTGATCCTC